ATTCCTGCCAGGGCACAACTGTACCCACAAAGGACAGGCAAAATCCAGTCACTGGAGAGAGGAGGTACGTTCATATCCAAAATCAAAGAGGTCTTGTGCATGTTGCCTAAATCCCACCTATGGTCCTGAACCAGCACTCCCTGCTGCTGGGGACTCCTGGTCATCAGAAGGGCCTTGATGGGCATTATGCTGGATCCTGCAGTGCTGCCCCAGCTGGGGCTTCCCTGTTTAAAGCCACATTGATGCTCTGCCAGACCCTTCTCCCACAACGATTCCTGCCTGGCTCTATGCTGCTGGGATCCCAGAGGTGGGGTTGGGATTAGGGTCAGGGATTAGGGACAGGGTTTGGACCTGGTCTTGGTCAATTCAGCCCTGCCAGCTCTGCCCATACCCTGGCTCACGCACTGTCAATCAGACCTGTGAAACTCCTGGCTTTGTCACTCCCTCTCTCCATGTCACCACATCCCTCCTGTCAGCCCTTCAACAGGATGCAGAGCTCCTCTGCATCCCTAGGTGCTTGCTACCACTTTTTTTTCCCTGTTTCTTACCCTACGGCATCTCCTTCTTTTCCACCTTTTCTGTCCACACCACCTCTCCTAAAATACTTTCTCTTTTCTAACTTATCCTTGCCATCTTTCCTGCTTTATTCCTACTAGACCCGCTATCTCCACACCAACCTGTCCCTCCCACCGTGCCAGCATGACTCACAGGTTGTACTGAGCAGCCAGGAGCTCCCCTGCAGAAATGGAGGGGACATGGAAAGGACCCAGGAAAGCCAGGCATAGAGAGGTGCTCAATTCTCACTTGGGGGCTTCATTTATAAAACAGTAGAAAAAAAAGATGACCCTGAGAGGTCATCTAGCCCACATTGCTGCCTGAAGGCAGGATCAGCCAGACCTAAAACATTCCTCAGAGACACTCGCTCGACCTGTTTTTGAGACCTCCAAAAAGGGAGACTCCTCACCCACTCCAGGGCTGCCTTCTCCTTGACACCAGAACGTATTTTCTAATACCACATCTGAATCAATTTTGCTGCAGTCTAAGCCCATTAATTCTCACTGAATCAGCTATGCCCACGGAAAAGGGATTATCCGCC